AATCACTGTTGGCTAGTGCTTCACTGAGATGCATCTGACCATGTATGCTTGATGGTTCTATTGTTAGAATAATAGAAATTGAGGTGATAAATATTGCATCAAAGGCACAACTCTTTGTGCAATATACACTAGTGCACCAACAGTCAGACACTGTCTGTGATATAGATGTAGCAGATTTCATGTGTGAGTTTACTGGACTAAGTTTTGATGCTGTCTTTGCATGTTTTGAACTTATTAATCAATGGACCATCATGTACTGATGTTCTTGAGTGAGGTTTATTGATCAAAACATGAATCAGAGAGCCAGAACTACCAGATAAACAAGTACAAATAATACAATAGTAGTAAATACTGAAAAGAACTTCTGACAGTCAGTGAGCATTGATAAGTGTCTTCCTAGAGCTACTACATCTTGAAACTACATCTAAACAGTCAGTAGTTAGAATGATAATAATCTGTAGTGGTTCAAGTCACTCACTAATGAGTCCTAGAAAGAATTCTCACTTCTAGTGATGAATTTGATGCAGTAGAGGAATAAGTAAAAGCCATCACAGATATTTTAGAGCTCTTGTGATGGTATGAATGATCCAGGAAAATCATGAAGAGGCTAATCATGGTGCCCTTTCAGTATAATGTAGAGGTAATAGATTTAGCTTGGAGTGGATCTCTCACTCTCTCCAACAAACAATGAGTTAAATATTGGCTAATCACCATAGTTCAGTGCAGTATATAGAGCCTTCAGAGATGCATTTAGCCAGAAAGAGTTATGGCTCCAAGAAAAGCTGAAAAGCTCTTTTATCTGACTGATGTTGATAACAGAATAAGTTAAATCACAGTTGTAATTCTTCAAAGGTGAGATATCATCAAAGAATTGTTTTGCAGCCTTTGCTCAGACATCAGCATTGATATGTGATGTTTCAGCATTTGCCTGAAGACCAGATAATGATTGAGACATAGATTCAGATTCACAATCTTCAGATTCCTTAGAGTCATAGACAAGGGGATTTGGGCAGTCTCTATACAGCAGTCTCTGCAGTGAGAGGGATTTTTCATTATCTTCACTTTCAACAGATTCTTTCTTCTGCTTCTTTAATTGTTTTTTCTGCTGCTGAGGAGGAAAGGGATCAATATTCTGATCTAGTGCTTGTCCTTCTTGCTACATGATCTTATGCTGCAAAGCATGTTTTAGATTATAGGACTTCTTGATATGCCCATATTGCAATTGCTGGTTCTTTCTGTATTATAGTGGTAATATTCCATGATGAATAGATGCACCATCTATATCACAAGTATACAATCAAATTACTGTATGATAGAAATATAACAGGGACTCATGAAGTGCCTGATTATACAGAGAATGATGGTACTTTTCAACTTGAAGAAGACTATCCAGACCTGGCATAATATTATGCTTCTTGTGAACAAGCTGATAAATCTTAAAATGCATCACTTCTTCAGCATTTATGCTATCTGGAAGTGTATCCAACATGTTGGCATTCATACATTATTGAGATGGAAATATCATCAAAGCATGATCAGAATGTAACCACCAGTTCAGCCATACTGAGATTTTAGGAAATCTGCTTTGAATTCCAGTGATAATGCTCTGGAATACTTTATCATCTTCACTTCAATAAATCAGATTCATCAAGTATTTAAATTCATCTGCCTGGCCAGATGGTATAATACCACTTAGTCACCTGATACTGATTGCAGTATTGCAAAAATGTTCTTGGCAGCTCTTAAAGAGTGTTTTCACTACTATAGCAAGATTGTCAGATGAATATCCATCATTTCTTTGCAGCCAAAAGTTGATGGAGATCTTCTTGAACCCAATTTATAAAGTGATAAGAACAATGTTATGAGAACTCAGTTGGCACAGTAAAAAGTGAAATGACAGAGTGCAGTAGTAACTACAAGATATATATATACAGACAGTATGAAGTATAGGGGGTCTGAAAGTGAAATATAGATAAGCAGGTGGAAAAGAATTGGGTGTACATATCTCATTCAACAATTCACTTTGGTTCACTAAAATTGACAACCCATGAGAAAAAATATGAGTATACATTATATATTCTAAGTATTAGCATATAAAAGATTTGATGTACACCTGGAAACATCTCATAATGGATTTCCACCTTCTTCATAATAGCAAATTTAGCAATTAACTTCAAAACTCCCTTAAAATGATAGTGATAATATTCTGCTGATGTACTATTGGAAACTATAAAAAGACCAGGAACTCAGAATTCCAAGATATCATTGAACACTGAGGTCACAATAAGGAGATACTGCCCAATCATCCAGTCTTCCTATGCTGTATCTGATAGGAATCCACTGAGAGGATCCTTATGAAGATTGTAGATATCTTAAATGAGCATATCTTTCATCCATGTTCTCTGAATAGAAATAATTGTTATGTCACTGCCATTCTGATAAGTTTACATAATACCAGGATCATTATGCTGCCAGTCAGAGAACTGAGTGAGGTATCAGATGCCACTTTCAGCCATTGTCCTAGCCTTTACTTGACAACATTCATATTTAATCTGGTCTGGATGTCAAGTAGCTTGGGAAATATCTGCAGCATCACAGCCATATCTATTCAACCATGAAGGTTCTAACATGAGCATCACAGAACCTAGCTTCAGATGTGATTCTACAAGCTCACAGAATTCTGCCTTCTCTGTACATGGCATGTTTAAGACATAGCTGAAGTGGCAATAGCTGTGAGGCTCTCTATTGATATATTGGTATTCTGCTTTTCATTGTATAAGATACAATCTTGACACATAATAAAAGTACATTAGCTCTGAGCTGCAGATTCCTTGATCTGCTGCTTATGACCTTGGAATGTAACTTGGAAATGATAACCAGCAGAACAGGCAGGATTGTCACATCTGAGGATTCTTAGACATCATTTGTTACTGATTTTTCTATCATTCACAGTAGATGAGGCTTTAGGTCCATCAATATCACCACTGTTGTTTTTGGTGGACCAATGAACCATCAAATTCTTAGTCTCATGAAAGTCCTTAGCTGAGATATTAAGTGCAAGTCTATCTGAAGGCAAGCTGTTCCAGCCACCCTCAATTTGTTTCAGAGACATAAAGACAACTTCTTCATTGATTTCTCATCTGGCTTCTAGTTGTGGGGAATTCTCAATAGGACAATAGACAGTTAATGGTATTAGATCAGACAGATTGAGTGGCTGCCAACAAGTAAAATTGTGATTCTCATTTGTTATCAAAGGATTTGGATTTAGCTTTAGCTTCATTGTCATAGCAGTTTTTGTAGTCTATAGTTGAGATTGAGAGGCAGCATTAGTCTAAGACAGAATATTTATAGTATTTTTTTGACAAGGTGTTGTATTCTGCTCAATCAGAATATAACATCTGTTCTTGAGATGACAAGAAACAATAGGCACTGCAGGATAAGAAAGCACTTGTAGAATAAGTATGAATGATATATTCATTCATCTGAGATCAATGAGTGCTTTGATTTGACCTGAAAAAGAGAATAAGTTCTCAAGCATATCATAGATCATGTCACTAATGCACCATCAGATTCAAATAGGGAATTAACCCATCCATATTTATAAGAGATGTCAGCTCCATATATGCTGATACTTGTTTAGTGTCACTTTTGTTGGGCTTTATTTGATCAGTACAATGATGCATGGGGACTTGGGCATCATTGGCAAGTAGCCACCTTGCCAACATGCATGCAAGGTGCTTCTATCAAATAAAGTAAGCCTCAGGCAGCAAGGTGTTGTAGAAGTGCTGACTCACTAGCATGTAGACAAGAGAAATGGCATCTCTGAAAGAGGGAGAAAGTGTGAGAGAAGAATAGTATTAGTGCATTAAGGAGAGCTGCTTTTATTTTCAGACTTTCCATTAGCAATATATGCTAGATAAGTTCAAACAAAAACATTATTGTAACAAAGTAATTAAGACCTAGTATGAAACAATAAGAATAGATGTGAAAGACAATAGTAGCAAGAACATACAAAAGTCAATGTATGTGCCTCATTCAGAAGCTTCAAACAAGTTGTTGTTATAGGGCATAGATTGTTGTATTGGCTGTGGCAATGCCTAGCAACAGAAATGACAAGAATGAGAAAAAAGACAAGAAAATGTATGTCTGTAATACATGCAATATCAGTTTTCTTCCTTCTAGTTTTCTGCATTTGGAACAGAAAATTGCACACAGAGCATGAACAGGCCAAAAATTAGATCTAATATCAGATTATCCAAACTGCATCCTAATCAGTCTTTGTGTCCTCATATACAGAGTGAGTCTCTGTATTATCATGGCATGGTTAATTTTGTGTTTGTGTGATGCATTCATGTCAAATCAATATGTGTGTACATGTGCATTATTGTGCATGCATGGGAAAAAATGCATTGATGTATCTGTTGCATGTGCATGCATGCTGATGGTGAATGTCATAGCACACTGTGATCCTGCAAAGACCTCTGAAAATGATCCCTTCTCTTGGAATCTGAATCAGGACAATTTGCAATAAACACTTTGATCATGAGATAGATCAGCCCACAGCACTTGAACATGAACTTTATCCTGCTCATTTGCAATGTGCTGATCTGCACTATTGCATTGCTCTATGTTCCAGATATTCTGTGACTCCATCAGGTGAGACTCTCTTTGGCCTTAATTCCTGGATGCTGAATTTTCAGAAGTGTAAACAGTTTGATGCACTAATAAGGCTACCAATCATATAAAACAACACCCACAAGCTCTACATTCTGTCTAATGACTATCCTTTCCCCCTCAATGATATTGATCTTGAACAGTGCATGTGGCACACATACTGACTGATGTCACAATGGCTCTCTGACTGTTCTATGTGACCCACAAGTGAGGCAATGTTGATGGACTCATCTGTATCAGAGATCAAATTTATCTCAGGGTGGTAGCACAAATGGCTGCTGACCATATCCAAGGGGCCACAGTCAGTCCTGATGATCTGAGACATCATGGAGGTGCACAAGTGCTTGAAATGGTCTCCACACTGGAACAACATTGGATTCAGGGATGTGACAGTTAAAGATAATCTGGAGTCTGAAGTCAGTGTTACAGTGTCATTGTGAGCATCTGTCAATATGCTAAACAACCACTAATTTCTATAGATTGCAGATAATTGTGCTCCTGCACTTCAATGATGATGGAATATTTCATGAAATCTACTTCATCAACATCAACCTCCACCTTGTCACCCTCCCTGTTGACATCTTAGCACTAACTGATCCCAGCTCCACTATGATCATCTACAACTGGAATACCAGCAAGTGCATACATCTTGACATTGCATGCACTGATTGCCTCCAAATCATTTAACCCCACCCATGGTCCTCATCCTGTGTGCCCAGGCCATCACTCTCTACATCCTTCCATCATCCATGCTTGTCTCTAAATATTTATTTCACTGGGTCAATGGTGCCAGTGAAACCTCCACATCCATCCTTATCCACAATAACATGACCTCCTGGGGATCACAGCATGAATCCTTCCAGCACTACTCCCTATCATCCTTCTCACCAATGCTCATCAGTAAAACATCCTCCTTCCATCGATCTGCCTGATGTCCTGACATCATCCTTGGCAAGCAGGCCACTGCGGTTTCACTACGCTCCCATCACCACAATCGGGAGGAGCAGGACAGTTATGGGACCCTCGTGGTTGCAGTCTTCTCTGGTCCGCTTAACCACACTGAGAATGTCTGTGTTCGCACGGTCTGCCAGAATAACCTTGACAATTGGATGGCGTTGTATTATGATGAGGACCTTGGATGGGTTGCGCTTGTAATGTGGTCTGGAATGATTACCATTGTTCACCTGTAGCCGAAATATATCTCTGTGAGTACTATCGTGTCTGCTACACAATTATCTTTTTCTACTGTGCATCCCTTGTCAGTCTTTACTCAGAGTACTCTATATGTTGATTCCATTCTCTCCATGACAGCTCATTGTACAATTGCTACATCGTATTCCTCTACATCTGGATTTAGAAGAACTGATGAGGCCCTTGCAGATTAGCTTCGGAACCTATGCTTTTCCTCATTCATCTCATATAGCAGGTATCGGTCAGTTCCTGTTTGCAAAGGTATTGTTTTGGAACGGTAGCTATATGAGGAGCATTATGATTTGGGAAAACTATATGAATATGGACATCAGAGATGTACACATTCACTGGGACCAATTCAACGAACCATGATTCAGATTCAGTGTGAGCCAAGTCGATCCCAGTCGATTGTTTATCGTTGAGAATGGAGGCCGCGAGCAAGCACAGTGCAAAAGAACAAACCAAGGAATAGTCTGGGAAGGAATGCGACCGCATCGTCGAATTCATTTTTCAGGGCCTTTAATTTCAGTGGTTTGTTTTGCATGACATAGAACATGCAACAATGGACTGTTTTATTCTCGCTATCAGAATACAAATAACCTCTTTCTTTTTGTGGTAGGACTTAGTTGGCATATCTTAACATTCATCCATACCCTTCAGCGTCATCGCTCAGACCGGCCTTAGATGCTGGCACTCCTCAAATGGTACAAATGGATTACCTTTAATCATATGATTTCTTCCAGTGGATAATCACTCATCCATTGGATCTGGATGGGTTTTGCTCTAGTTTCCCTACTGTCCTTCTGGTTAGGCTTTCGCTGATGTGTTTCCCAAGACTTGGGGTCAGAGCACTTTATTTCTTTTAATAAAAAAAAGGTATGATCCCAAGCATCTTCTCCGACATTGTTCCTCAACGCCAGCTGCCAAAGCAATGGTTTACATACCCACACTATATTGACTTACAGGCCCATGCCTTTTCTACATATAGGACTTCTTCTATCAAAGCCTTCAGTCGATCCATCACACTAGTAATTCATTTCAGTGTGGTGGAAGGCAGGTCTTTCTATCGAATAAGGAGATTTACCATGTCGCAAGATAAAAACATCATCACAGGCACTGGAGGAGCCCCCGGCGGGGCCGTAACCTTTTGTCATATCACCAGTGTTCGTGAACAAGATCGGTTTGTGCACGACGGCGGTACCTTCGAATCAATTAGATAGCCGGATATGATTTAGAGGTGAAATATCGACGTGTCGCATTGACAATCTCAGGAGGACCACACGCACATCCCCTGCTCACACTACTATGGCGACGTGGCTACTCTCACTACAACTCAGCCGCACCTCGTGTGCAACCTACGGTTACAGGCCTTCTCTATTTACCGCCGCCTATTCTCCGTCGCGTTCTTAAGGAACATGAGTGTCTTCATTCCGCACGCAATCTGCAGCTATCAGCTTCCATCGGTCGCGGTGGTGAATATCTTTTTCGCTATTCTCATGAAGCAGGAATGCGTTATAAATGCAATTGAGTGCTCTGTTCCTCACTCGTGAGTTCTCTTTGCCTGATGATCTTTGTAGTTCACTGTTGCGTTTTCTTACCGAGGTGGCCGTTCTTCATTCGTAAGACTGCTGCGAGAGTGTATCATAATGGAGGCATCCATTCGGGAGCTGCTGCTGTTTCAGATACATTTTGGCATCCAAGCGACTAGTGAAGTTGTTCACAGAAAACAGGTACATTTCCTCAAAGTATACATCTGTGTGATTCTAAACCATTGATACATTTCCAGACTTCAGTAGCTTGTCAACTTTTTGACTCCGGTGAAGGCCTGTGGAGGAATAACATCCAACATTGTCTGCTTCTCCAGATGCTCCTGTGTGAGCACCGTGCTATGTGTATACACGATATCCAACTCGGTTATTTGTTCCGGTAACTGCAGCCATGCGAGTTCAGCGTCATTGTACCACCAGTTGTGGTAGTTCACCGATGTCCGTGAGACATTGGGGAATAAATTGTGAAGTACTGGCATGAGATCGTGGATATCTGGCCATGCCGGGTGCGCTTTGGGATGGAGGTGGCGGATATCGACTTCGAGGACGAAGGAGATGGACCAGCAGAACTTTGATGGCGAAAACGAAGAGTCGACGGACCGGAAGGCTACGGTGTCTCGTTGTAGGATATGGCCGATGACGTGGATAAGGTGGGAATGAGTGAATATGTGTACGTCAGTGCAGTACACACGAGTACATTCCCAAGCGAATGATTTGCTGATGAGAAGGGATGATGTCGCCATTCAGAGACATTCGACGGGTGTAAGAGGAAAGGCCCATGCTTCCTCGATGGTCTGGGCAAGTATTTCGGCAGGCAGTACATTTGCCATTGTTTAACAGTACTTGTAGAGATGATTTGTTCAGCTAAGTTGTTTGGCGATTTGTGTGATTAAAGGCGTCGTTGTCCCTGTATTGTATACCTGATGATGCTCCACATTTTCGTGATCCACCTTGGCCTTGGCGATGAGAATTCTGTCTCACCGATCGTTCTCGGTAGGGGGTCCCCACTGGATGAAATTCCACAAGCTTAGAATATCATCCATCTTCTGTGACATCATTAGAAATGGTTAGTTTAGTAGGATATATATTAGGCTCCTTTTCACCAAGAAGTTACAGCTCCAAATTTTGCTGACCGACTGGCGATGCAATGTATGAAACTTGATGTCTAGGAAAATGGTTTCAGATGGCTCCCGGAACATTAGAAAGGGGGATGGAGGTAAAGGCCGAAGTTAGACTGTTTAGACTGTTAGACTGTAATTGGTAGCTGTGTCGCTCAAGGGATTCCATTGAATCCGCCTTCGCTTAGTGTCTTTATGCCCATTTAAATTATTTATGAGCTCCCAGCCATCTTGGTGTCACCAAATCCTTCACTGAGACTAATTTCCCTTTGCAGAGAATTCATTTAATTACGAGTGGCTGGGCCAAAATAAAATTTACTTATCTGTAAATTATTGCTTTATGTACTTAAAACAAATAATGTTTTCGAGGAAACGGCAGGATATTCGGGGATCGCGAGATGGTTTTCATTTTGAGAGGCTTATATCGCATGGTTTCAGCTTACATCATCGTCACAGAGGGTGAATTTGAGACAAGTCTCAGATGGCAATGGATATATAATAGAGCTCTTTGGCCTCTCTTCAGTCCCTCACCAAACATCTCTCCACATCACACAGTCAAGTCGCTCAGCTCATTTTTGATCTTTTGAATCATTTATCAGTCTGTCCCTTAGTTTCTTTATGAGTATCTCATATTAACCATCTCATTTTCCCTCTCTTCATTCAGTGCTTTCTGCTGAAGTTCTTGAGGATTACATTCGCTTTGCTAGAAGCTATGTGGAGGCTCAGAGCTCTGTTGACCAGGACTCTACTATCTCTCTGACCACCACCATGCCAACCTTCTCCTCTCTGGGCCTTAGTGCTGATGCTACATACAGCACTACTTCCTACACTCCTGATGCACATGCTGTCTCTAAGGAAGAGGCTGAATTCTATTATTCAGGCCTTCATTCTGAGCCCAGATTGCTATACCGCACAGGCAAGAAGTGGTTTCCACCCAGGGGACCTGAGGCCTATCGCCGTTTGAAGGAGCTGCACCCAGTCTTCAACCATCCAATTACAACAGTCTGGAACAATGACTTGGGCTGGAGGGTTGTCAAGGTTTTAGACACTCACACAGTCAGTTAATAGATAGATATTTATCATATCATAGAATTTGCTAACTAGGATTTCTAGATCCACTTTACAACAATAGATGTTGTTCGTTTCAGGATGGTCAAGTTCAAAGAACCACCTGAGGATGAAGAAGATACTGATGAAGAAAGAGTAGAGGCCAATAAACTAGTCATCACTCCTGTCACTATTTGGATTGGTGTCTTCCCTGAGTCTACCTCTACCACAGCTGCCCATGATGCAGCTCAGGACATTCTAGCCCTTCTCAAGGACTACCAGATCACCGACGTCGATGTCGACTTCCGTCAGTCCTTCTACACACGTGAGGCCAGTCCTCAGCTTCTCAAACCTGTCAGTGACCTGAACCCACTTGTCAATGTCATTAGTCCCCTCACTCCCACTCTTGGCCTCTGCATCTCTACCAAGGCCAGACCTGACATTCAGGGAACAATGGCCCTCTACCTTGCTGAGGGTGGTGGCAGTGATAACCTCTTAGGTCTTTCCTGCCGTCATGTCCTGATTGGATCAAAGGAAGCTAATGTTGACTATATTTGCCATCCTAGTAGGCCTCCTAAAGAAGTCATCTTGCTTGGCAATAGAGCCTTCACCAACTTCATCAATTCAATCAAACTCAAGGTCAGAGGAGGTGGAACTGCAGTGGAGTATTGGAGGAAGGAGATTGAATGGTTCAAGGAGGATGAGAAGGGCACTGATGCTGTTGATGTTGAGAAGGCCAAGGAATATCGGATTATGACTCAGAGATGGCTGGATGACACAGAGGAGGCAATGGATGCACTTGCAGTGTTTCTCAATGAGGTCAACAAGGACTGGAAGAAACTTGACAACCGCATCCTTGGCCATATCCTTTGCTCCCCAGCTATCAGTCTTGGTGTCAGTGAGCAACGTTTCACAGAGGATTGGGGAATTTTCAAGGTCAACTGGGCGAAGCTTGGTGATGGCTTCCAGGGAAATAAGATACACCTTGGTGCATTTGACTATCCAACTAAGATCATCTCCTAATCTAACTGTTATTTATATGTAGGAACAAAGCTATCACCTGTCCAGTTCATGTGCAAATATTTTCCCTATGAAGACCCCAACTGGGAGTTTGAATATCCTGGAAATCGTCTGCTTCCACTTATGGGCATCATTTCTGATGACTTGATGCACACTCCTGACATGTGGGACTCAAATGGTGAACCATACTTGTTGGTTGTCAAGAGTGGCAATGCCACTAACACCACTATTGGCCGTGCAAATGGTGTCTTCTCTATTGTTCGTGACTATTTCCAAGACATGTCCATCAACCAAACCTCTATGGAGTGGGGGATAATGAACTATGACAGCGAGTCAGAAGTCTTTTCAGAACCTGGGGATTCAGGTGCAGTAATTGCTGACATCCGTGGCCATATTGGTGGCATGCTTACTGGTGGTTCTGGTATGACAACATCCCCTGATATGACTTATGCCACACCATTCTGGTGGCTCCTTGAGCGTATCAAGGCTAATGGATTCCCTGATGCACACCTTGACATCCTTGTCTAGGCATCTCAACAAAGTCCCCTATATCGTAACCTTTCTCCAACGTCGGAAGCTGTCTAACATGGACACGCTTGCACTGGGACCGAGGCAGAGAATATAGGATAATGTAAAGGAATCATATCCACAATGCGCAAGGTCAGGACAGATATTTACCATTTATATTCAACCTCAATCAGCGTCGCGGTATATGCATGAAAAAAGCCTGCTTCAGTTGGTTACTCTGAAAGAATGAGTACCTAAGATATATACAGGGACTAGCTGCTATATGGTAAACGAAAGAGGGACTGGTACAACTCCTGAGAAATCTTCTGAAAATGTCCAAGAGATGGTGTGTCAGATTTCTGTACTCCTTCAGATGCACACGTCTTTCTCGAATATTAGAGCGATGACTGTGCCATACCATACTTTCTCTGGCTCAGGAGGATAGGTGAAGCAGGTAATCGTGCTGCTCACAGCTTTGGGATCCTTGACGCCCAGCTGCATTTGGTTCTTGCGGTACCAAAGCTGAAATAGCGGGTCGCTCCCTTGTCCACAGACCGTTCGAAAGGCGAGCTCATCTTGCGGAAAGAATCCGTCCAGCTTCAGAATACAGCCAAGTATCTTGCTATAGGTCCCAAGTCGGAATATGAACGGGAGAAAATTGTCTTTAACAACAGATCCTGACGCCTTTGTTTTGAGTTTTGACAATATGAGGACGAGGTGAAGACGTACTGTGTTGTTAAAATATGAGGCCACGAATGATGCAGTCGTGCCCTGGATCTTCATATAGCATTTCCTGGTCGGATTTTGGATAATGATCGAAAAATACATGTTGTAGATGTGAGGCTCGGTGAAATGGCTTTCGAAGAACTGGATTCAAGATTTGCAGCAGATCATTGGTAAGAAAATATCGGATTCCACGTACTATGTCTAGGCATATCTGCGAGCACCAGAATCCACCACACTGACATACAGCGATGATTTCGCAGTCAAGGTCCATTGTTCTGCAGCCGTGGCAAACGAATGGCATAGACATAACTTCCTAATATGCGGTAGAGTCGAAGCGGTGTGAATGATAATGTGTCCGGGAATATTGAGATTCCAAAAGGACGAAGGAGATGACTAGCGCAAGAATAAAGAATTGGCTGCGCCATCATTAGCGACAGGATACGAAGAGACGAAATAACGACCACATACACCGGGAACTTGGTGTCCCAAAGCTCAATAGAGATGACGCCAAATGCAAACATAACGACTAGAATACACGTCAGCATACGACAACATCACATCACGAAGGAGACTCACCGAAAATCACTGCATACCACCACTCCGGCACCTGACGATATTGCGACATGAGACGCGCGTGGATATCAGACTGTTCATGCATCGCCCGGCGCGCTTGTGTCCAGATCTGTTTGCGGAAGTACAGGCTGATTCGTGGTTGGTCAGAATCGGCGCCATCGATGGACCGACAAAGATGAACATACAAGGCATGGGTAATCGTAGCAGTAATACTCGCAAGTGAGAGGCTGTAGGAGATGGCGAATGTCGTCCAGATGTACAAAGGGCTATACGCTTTGTATGCACCCCCGTTGAACGTGGCGTTGAGGTTCATGATCTTGGTCACATCGTAGGTAGCGCCAAAGTGATCATATGATCCCCTGGACGAAATCCTGCGGGAAAATTAGGTCACGTAAGGTCCTCCATGACAGAATGAACACTGACGGCATGTATTTGCTATCCCATGCGTTCGAACACTGCAACATGTGCACCATCAGCCACGTGGCAAATACAAGGAAGAGGCATTTATACATAGAGCGCTGGGGTAAGGATTCCTAAGAATAGACGGATACCATCAGGCTCTTCGAAATAGAACGGGAAGCGATCGATACATACAGAAAAATGTCATGAATCCGGCAAAGATGTTGGCTTCAACCCACCATGGCGTGGCCCGATATACGCAATCTAAAAAAGAATCGTTGTTCGAGAACATGCAACACTATTACGAATCGCCAGCACTACGAACCTGTGCCCAATCGAACGCGGTGAGACTCATACCCATGCCATGCACGTAACCAAACATCTCGTTCACTGGTACATTGTCGGACACGATCCAGCACACCCAAGAAAAGTAGCCGAGCGCTTGGAAGAGGTAGCGAGGCAGAAAGTACCACGAGAAAGAACCGAGGAAGACATAGAAGATGGACCTTTCTCGGCTAATACCTCCGCGGGTACCGATACCGGCATAAGTCTGAGCATGCAAAGTGTTAAAGAGCGCACAGGTGACCAGGTTCGTCGGCCAAAGTAAATCGAATTAGACGGGGGTTGAAAGATAAACTGAAAGACGCCGCATACGCATCGAAGGTGGCTTCACGAGGAAGCGGCGGGTGATAAGCTGTGTGGACATTACCACCATCCATTGGTCTACACACACGCCACGTTAGCGAATACATGAAACGAAAAGACGCGCAATCTTACATCCAAAGTTGTATGTTTGATTATAATAAACCCACTGAACGGCGACGATATCAGTGGCGTAGGCACTCCCAGAACTCACAGATGCCATGACCGCTTCCAATTAGGAAATTCAACAACGCGGGGTGACATACAGAAGCATGGCAGGAGGGGAGCGTGCGTCCAAGGGTTGGTGAGGAAGGAAAGAAGACCGCAGATCATCGCCACGAGACGTGGCGTCGGATCTTTTCAGGTACTCGAACGGATGTGAACAATTCCATGACGGCCCGACAGTTTGCGGGCTTGTCACACCGGTGAGTCTGTTCCATTACGCGCTGCCGGAAATCAGGGTTATACGGTCGTCTTCGGTATATCTGCGTGGCACCTCTACGACGATCCACCGTATCGGACGGCGTACAGCCCTCTCTCTCCAAAAGAGCCGAGGCAGCGTTTGGGATCTTGAGAACCACTAGACTGCTGCTGCTCTTCTCCCTGCTTTCAATTACCTCTTGTTCGCCATTGAATGGCTTAGGCAGGGTACGCATACAAGCTGTGTTGTGATGGAAAGAATGGAAGATGCTGATTAGTATTAGTTCCCCAGTATTGGTATTTCTTTCAGTGGTGATTAACTGCGTGGACGACGGCAGTGGTTGAGGACGTGCTTTCTACAGGTGATAGCTATAACCGATGTCAGGGACAGGATACTACTGACATGTCAATAGCGTGATCGAATGCGACATAGCACGACTTGGAACCAGTTGGAGCACTGAGAAATATTATGTTCTTCATCACCAAGCGACTCGCTCCTGTACGCAAGCGTGTTGTATTCAACCTATCCGTCTCGTCGTCGAATGCCCCGACGAAAACACTCCCATCAGGCCTGAACTCGCATACAGTCTAGATTCGCGGGATAATACGGTAAATATATATCGCCGTCTCCGCAAAATTAGGATGGGCGCCTGCCCATGGATCAATGAGTCTCATACCATTGGAGCGATTAGATCAATTGCAAGGACGCAATTCGTCATTTCGTCAGAGGCCCGTGGCCGATCTCGCATTGATCTTCGTGCATTTAAATTGGTTGTGCCACATTGTTCATGCTACGCAACGGCAGGTACTCTAATTGTACATCATCTCTGAGACGATCAACAGGACGATGAGCGGAATAAAATAAGACTTACCCTCGTATCATAGGGACGCGCGCCCATCATCACGAATCCATAATCACATCCACGATGAAAGCATTGAATTCTCTTCATCATCCCACGATAGTGAGCCATGTAGTCGGCATATGATAATTCATTGCACCATAACATCCTTCATCATAATCATTGAATCCTGTACCGCTAATTTATATAATGCATGACTGAAATACTCTGTTCACTTCCAACTGCTCAGAGTCGGGTTCATGGGTCGCTCCGGTCCAAGTGTCGTCCATCGCCAACAAGGGATTCTGGAAGATAGCACAATCGCTGCACTGCATATTGTTTCCTTCCACACGAGTGCGTATCATTGATGATGTCGTTTATTAACCTCTCCCGCAACGAGGAGGTGCAGGAGAAAGAGTAAGAAGGGTCATGGTGCTGACCATAAGCAGTGGGCGAAACGAGGTAGCAGTCAGTTTCACGGCGGCAGTTGCAAAGACGGAACTGGATTAGACTATGTATCATGGCGACGGCGAGTACGTGACACTGTGGATCAAATATTTCAGGCTAGGCAGGAGCAGAGATGGCGATCATAAGAGCTTAACGCCAGTGCCGGCGGTTTCAGCCCGATTCCCGGTTCTCTTCCGACGATCCGACAGACAACAACACGTTCGATACGTTCACCTTACTACAACAAATCCTGATCTTTTCAGTACTATAGGGTGTTATTTTTGACTCCTGGCATACCGCCATGTTGGGTAGCATACGACATCTTCCCTGGACACAGCTCCAAACATTCTACTGCTCTGATGCACTGATGCATCCAGCCATCATTGCGTCTGGGTCCTCCGGTGACCCGTCATTTGCAAGGAGCCTGAAACTCTGAGTCCATGAAATGAATGACTTGAATCCTGAAAGGCCGCTATTGTTATACCCTTGTGTTCAGGGAATGGGCGATATTGTATAAACACTGGGGCTTGGCAACTCCTCAGTGGCTTGAAATATCTTGGAGAGGTCTGTTTCTGTTTCTGTGCTAACGGTGTCCATCTAACACCATGCCATGTGAAATACGCTTTACCATTGCCAGCGATCTTCATATGACATATAAATTTTCGGCGCTGCTTCCTGACCAGCAATGAAAGCAAATTTCTGCATAAAAATCAGAGAATGGCCGACTGCTTATTTCGACTGCCGTAATTTTGGTATTTTCCACCGTGACTGAAAATTCAAAAATTCTCCTATGCGACATTTAAATTCGAGTATACGGGTCGCCGTTGGAGTTCCCAAACCAATCTTCGACTGAACGGTATTTGAACTGCCTCTGGTGTAATTCGCAGGCAGTTTGTATCGCGTTCGATGCTCCGCCCGTCCAATAAATTTTGATAACAGGTAGACTACTACTGATCTGGTTAACTTTTCTTTTTCCTGTGAGCGTGTGTATACCTCGGTCTAAGAATTTATGAAATGCTCCCGTGTCGTGGCAACACTCCTCGTCGTACGTTTTCTTACCTGTTGGGGCTTTGAGTTTATTGGTGACGCTTATTGGCTGGAGGTTTTCTTACCTCATAGAGAAAATGGCAACGATGCGTCAGCCGATGACCTTTGTGGTTGCATTCACAAGCCCGGCTACATCTGCTAAATCCAAAAGAGAAAGGACTGTCAACCATTTCCCTCCGTCAATGCTCCTAGTACAAATATGAGTTTTTCGACACTTTTACTCGAGAGGGATGCGAGCTCCAATACCGATCCTTTTTCTCCCTACTAATTTTGGTCCTGTGATGAAGGATTGTTGCCGTTTGGCTGTCCAAGCTAATGGCCTGTCATCCGACACATGATCCTGAATTGCGAAAAAACTCTGGATGAACAAATGCATTCATACCCAGAGGTAAACGTTCTTTGTTATAATTTTCCAGTAGGGACGTGACTGTCCCATGGTCATGCTCAAGAAGATAGAGAATTTTCCTCTTGAACATTGGATGCCTTGTAGGTAACGGTGGTTTAATGGTGAAAAAGGCTATGCTAGGTTTGATTCCTCACCTCCGAATGAAATAGTCTGATCCAAATCTTTTTTGGGGGGGGAAGGGGCCTTTGAGAAATTGATATTCAAATTATAGATCTTTTGTCATCTCATATTTGCGGTGAATTCTGCAGCTGTCAGAATGCAAGATTGGACTCATTTTAGCCTCCGATAATTCATCACCTAGGCATATATGCCTCGCTTGATGGCTAGCCTGCATTGGTTACCTCTGAAGGCATAGAGTTTGCAGATCGAACAGCGTATGTGGGAGGCAAAGGATTTTTGCACCGAGGGAGTTTTATGACTTCCACCCAGAGTTCAGGGCATGTAACCGAGAATGGACTCTGAGTTGGGTGTAGTCTTCGCTTTGAATCGTAGATGCTTTTTTTTTACTCATAGTCTCTCGACATGGGTAGCATACTGTAAGTGAAAAGGTTCATGGGGGTGCTGTCATCTCAGTGCTACGACGACGAAAGCATAGAAATAGGAAGCGACAGTTCTACTTGTGGATGTATTGAAAGGTCATTCGATGAGGAAATCAATAGCCACAGGAGGTCGAAACGATTATGCTTCTGACGGTTTCGGGAACTTCTGCTGTTGGATTCTGAATATCAGAGAAGGTGAGGGAAAACCTTTGTCGTACTTTGTAATTTTGCATCTGTTTGAAAACTGCCAGTCTGTACATGTAGGTTCTGAATATGTTAATCTTGCTAGCCAGAACTGAAAATTAACTGACATACATCAGTAGCATTCACAGCAAGTGCACAATTTATGACAAGAAGGTTTTTGCGCATGACCTCAGAGGAAAGGTGGGGGAAGAGTCATTCATGACCTTGTGGAATTACCATGCCATACCAATATGTACAGCATGAAAGAGCGAATGAGTCTCAGTGGACGTGCACATCCTGAACGAAACGGAAACGAGTCTGGTTTTTTGAGTACCTGTAACAAAAATGGAACGAGTATCTCATTATTTGAATATGGGGAATCGAACCCCACGCCAGTGCAATATGCCCTTAGAGGTGAGACGTGGTGATGAAAAGTGATAGTGTTATTATGCATGAGAGACGACGCGTCAATCGGCACTTGATCGGCACCACCACTATCGACGACGACTCGGGTGCGTCGATATGTGCAGCGCCATTGTCTTGCCCCCCCGGTTCCTGGACCAGCACAGGGTTATGACTCCTCATGATGAGCAATTCGGCATACTCGGGAATGAATGCCGCATGCGAGACCACAATTTCATGCGCTCATGGATGAAACAATACAGAGAAAAGGAAAAAAAAAACCGTACTGCGGCAGGACAAGCCTAGATCTCTTCCTTTCTGGATAGCATATATAATAGCTCATTCACAGCGCTACTCTTCTCTGGAACTCTATGCTTTGATGCGTGATGTTTTTTGATTGCACTACTCCCTGCTCATCTTCAAGCCTCAATATGTTCTATCTTAGTGTTTGGGTATTCTGGACACCGTGGGACATGCTAGAGACTAGGTAAGTTCAGTATAGCATCCTTTACTAATATTGCGACCATTGCTGACATCAACATTACGCATTGCTTCTTCCAATTAGAAATAACCATGGGCAGTAGCTAGGAGGTGTTAGCAACTGACTTAGAAACCAGATCAAACACCTTGGCTGCCTCATGGTCAGACAATCAGCAATGAAGTGAAGCCTCAAGTGCAGAGGTAAGAGTGCAAGTCAAGTAGTTTATGAAGGCAGTGAGTCAGAGAAAGGCAGGATAGGTTGAACTTTAGGTGAAAGCTGAGGCAGAGGACTGTACATGCTCATCTGAAACACTGTAGTCCTATGTTCTAAATATAATATACAATATGGTAGCCATATTCAATGCATCCATTGTCCATGCATGAAACTATGAATACCAACACAATACTGTCATGGTGCAGTGTACACACCAAGGTCACAACAAGAAGGCATGAAGTTGTCATGATGTAGGATAGATTGGGCTGATACCTAGGTGATAAGATAGAGACATGACAGATAGAGATTAGAGAGGAGGAAAATTGTGACAGGTTTTCATCCTTGAGCAGTGGATCAGGATGTGTGCAAAGGAAGGGCATGGTTGTGACAGAGAACAAAGTACTATTGAATGTAAATCAGTACTTAGTATATCTATAGTTATGGTTAGCAATGGAAACAAAGCAGCAGAGTATATGTACAGATCAGCATGAAGATTGTAGTTGAACACTGAGATGTTGCAATAAGATATGTATGAGTGATTTAATTGTAGTTGGTTTGCTTATGGTCAACTGTTGCTATGCAGCTCAACATCATCATGCTGTGAAAACTAGGCATTAGATACTTTGCATGACTGTCTGAATTGTTGCTTGGTAGGACAGAATTATTTAAAACAAAAAACAATCTATGACTTTATTATAATTCAGACATAGAAGGGAATCAAACTCTCAACAACTAAGGTTTCTGTTGCACTATATCTGGATGGATATTTTGAAGGGAGTCAATAATTTTAATAGAAGAATCAAGGAGAAAATCAGCTTGGTACCTCTATCTTGCCAGTATCTCCCATTTACAATCATCCTGACTCAGATACTCAGATGAATCTCACTGCCATATTAGGCAGTACACATCCTCAGAGTATGCATCCAATTTAAAAAGATGTGTTCATTATAAAGACAGAATCCAAGGGTAGGAAGCATTTTCAGAGACCTCTGCATGAATCTTGGAATGCATACTATTTCTGTTGATATGGAGCTCTGATTTGTCTATGAAGATGGATTGCTGGTGCCATTTCTGTCTCAGTGCTGATATTTGGCTGATGCTGATTCATGAGAGACATTAGTGTCAGTGTCTCATCTTCATCTTCACTTTCACCCTGCATCCCCAGATGAGATATGCACTGCTCTCTCAATGTCATTCAACTGTAACTGCCAATCCAGGCCCTAAGGCTCTGTCTCTTCTTTCTGTTGTCAGTAATCTCTGTTGCCTAGTGAGGCTTCACCTCCTTTCTCACCATCTAATAGCTCATTCAACCAGCTTTTGACCTCACCACAGCTAATCAAATCTCATTTAGTGCTGTTGTGCTGTTATTTTACAAGTCTCTATTATGTTTTTTGTCTTCACCTTCACTCTCCATGCTCAGACCTCAAGGCTCCATATCTTCTTCTTATTTGTTTTTATGCTATTTTTTACAAGTCTCTAGTGAGCTTTTTTTTTCATCTTCCTTTTTCTCTCAAATCTGTATTTTCATTTATAATCTCAAATCCATCTACTAATATTGAAAGTGTCATCACACTGGCCAAACATTGTCAAGATCTTATTGGAGACTGTGTTAGAGGAACTATTAATGTTCTTGACTTTACAGACAAGCTCTATCAGCTCAGTCTTTCATCTGAGGCAGTTGGAGGCTATGTCAGACTTCTGCAGGAATGAATCAAGCAACCTGGCCTGAGAAGGTTGAGTAGTACATCCTCTGACATATGGGATGATGATGACAAAGATGCTGGAGCAACATGCAATAGAGTAATTACTCCTCTGGACCTGTCTTGGGCTGAAATTGAGAAGTGTGAAAAAAAGCAAGCTGAGAGAACTGAAGCCACCTTCAAACAGTGCCAGAACACTATAGCTCATATGGTTGAAGAAGCAGCCTGAGTGACTCTCTGCTTCAAGCTTCAATTCCTTTACCAATCACCAACTCTTAATGAGTCTCAGAATCTGTCATAGCTGTACTCACTGGCATTCTTGAGCTTGACAACATTGCCTGAACAAAATCAGTGTCCATTCCTCTAATAATCCTTGCTCAAGCACTTCACCCTTTGTTCATCATCTCCACTGGAATCCTGGATTCTCATCTTTCTGAGACCTTTTATCTCAGACAAAATTATGCCATCATAAAGTCTCTTGATAATCTCATCACTGTTTTGCAGTCTCTTTCACAATGTATCACTCAGCCTTTCTGGCATCATATTATTCTTTCAGAAACTGACACCTAGAGAATATATCTTAATCAAAAGATGAGTGGAGTGTAATTCAATAATATAGCATAGTCATCTACTCTACTTTATATACTGCATTCAAGTGGAAATATTGTGCAAACAATGTAAGTACTTTATTGATATTTTCCATTGTTCTCAGTGTCATGTCATCCTTTGTTCCAAGAACAAAGTAGATGCCAACATATTCAGGACCAATGTGTTGACTTCTCAAAATCTTTTTTCTTAATAGACTGAGAGTATGACCATAATGAAGAGATCAAGAAGCTTATGGCAGGATATGCTATTGTTAGAAAAGACATCTCATTAGCCAAAAGGCCTATCAGAATTGAATCCAACTAGTGCAGAGTATATGATGCCTGGACAAGAGTTATTCAAGTATTTTACCTATACTGTAAGGCTGAACTTAAAAGTTTATTATAAATATGTCATCAAAGTATTTCAGACATGCTGCATGATGCAACTATTGCTCTCTGTATCAACAAAGAGATTTGGATGCATTATGGTAAGTGTTCTTTCTGCATGAATGTCTGGAGAAAACTCTAATTCCAATTCTTACTCAAATGTTCCACTTCAACAATTCTTTCTTCAGACACAAAGTGGTCATTATCTGTTCCCTGCTGCAAAAATAGCAGCAGTATCTTACAATAATTAAAATCTGAGCTTCTGCCAAGATTGGCACCTCAATTGCTGTAAGCATAGCACTTATAGTAGGTGAAGTGTAGAACACTGAACCTGAGACATCATCAACTGTACCAACCTTCTCTAAATCAAATGAAGGCTCAAATTCAGAAGTCATAGCAGTGGAAGCAGGAGTGGAAGCAGCAGGGCCTAGATCTTTAAGGCCTCAATAATGCAAGTGCAAAGATCAGAATGCAGGTCTATGTTTTAAATATGGTTACATATGGTCAGATACTTCTTCATCTTCTGTATTCATATCTCCTGCTGTCCAATGTTAGACTCAAGTCACACATAATCAGAACATGTGATAAACAGATGCTGTATTGTATTTGTACAGTCATGTCTGAGTCTACTGTTTGTGTCTGTTGACCAATGTGCTTCAAGGCCTTTGAAAGAAAGCTCAAGAGTGAAGTGATATGAATAAACTTTAGCTCAAAGCTGGGGTTATACCAGCAAGAGCTGCTCTACTTATATACTGCTCATCCATTGAGATAATTATACTACTACCTATTGTACTTATCTGAGTCTTTGTGCCCTTTGTCCTTTGGCATCATTACTATCTACAAAAGACTATTGTCCATCATTGAGGGCTTGTCACTATGTCAGAGGACAATGATGGATTGGCTTGTTGTGATGACTAAGCTTCTCCCCACAGTCCTAAGTGCTGGCTTAAGCACTCTGACTAAGCATAAATAGGAGTTAATATAAAGAGAAAATAGAAAAATCATAACACCCAATCTACTGTATTTGCTGACTCCCTTTTCTCTCCACCTGTTTACATGATAATCCACACTTTCAGGCCACTCCAGATACTCTGAAAGATTTTATAGCAGTCAGTACACTATTCAACATTAATCATTTAGAAAATATTGATACCTTGCCATTGAGAACAGAAATGAAGTTAGCAAGGAAAGGCTCCTTAAGAGCAGACAGATAGTATGCTTGAAGCAAGCACTATTCCAAGGTTATTGGTTCATGAAAATTTGATCAATGAGTCAGATGTATCTGGACCTTAGCAGCCACATTGAAATATGCTGAAGTTTGTGGCAACTGTGCATTAGCATCAAGAGGACTCTTCAGCAAGATATCAGCATGCTGAATGAGAGAATTGAAAGTAGGAATGTTGTTAGCAGAGACAGCAGACATTATGATTTAGAAAATATTAGGATTCTGAAGAAACAAACTCAATAAACCATTTCTTATACAGAAACTCAAAGACATCTCACCTCATTATGTTTACACAGGAATTCTGTTTGGAATATAACATGCATTAATGGATCATACCATGGAAACATACCAACATGCACTTGCTTTTCAAAGCCTCAGCAGCATTGTACTTTGAAATACTGCATCTTTGAACCTTGGTTTAAACTTTGCAGTCTTCAACACCAATGATTTAAAAAGTTTAGGGGGGAGAGACATGGTCTCCATGTTGTTCATAGGATGGAAACATGCTTCAAAGTCATCATAATATTTTTGTACAGAAAGTAATGAAATCATGAAAGAAACAATCCCACAATTCATAAAATACTCCATCAAATTCATGGAAACTATGATATCAGTCACAAAAGTATCATATTCCACTGATAATTTGACTAGGTACAATGGAGATATCAGCAAAAATTACATTGCAGTAATGAAATCTCATACCTAGAGATATAGCATCCAATGAATCCAAAGGCCAGCAGAGACAAAGCCATGGCCAACTGCACTTCTTACCAAGTTTCTACCTTGCAACATTTGGACTTGGTAGAATTTTCAAGATTCAATGCACAGCCAGGAGAGCATGTGGACCATTGCACATGATCCCAGCCACTGAAATTTCTCTTAAGTTCAAAATGGGCCTCAAATTACTCAGTAAAATCACATAAAAATTCAAGAAAACGCAAATTTATTAATTTCAGCCCACTTTGGAGCGATGGATAGTCAAGCTATATAAAATTTTTGCCCAAAGGTGTATAATAGTGGTATATATATATTGTTCAAAAAGGGGAGCCATGCTCCCAGCTGGAAAACCTAGTCAACCACCAGCCCTAGTTGTCACTGCTGCCAGAACCACTGTCACCCATATTGTCCTTCTCATCCTCATTGTCTTCATCAAATTCTATGGGAGACAAAAGGCATTCCCGAAGACGTGATACCTGAGCACGAACATTCTGAGTATGGGCCAGAACGTTGAGGCCAGCGAGATATTGTTGGGTAAGGGAGGCAGTGGCAGAGATACTCTGTTCCAAGGCGTTTAGCTCCCCCTCGAAAGCATTGATGGCAGCTTTTAAAAAACACGTCAGAAGAAGAAAACGACAGACGAATAAAAATGCACCAGCACCCATTGGACGATAGTGGTCCTCGGGATTAAGGCCTGCCTCCCCATCAACAGTGCAGGGACATTTGGCAGATGAGGGTACGACCTCACCAAAACCGCTGCCGCTGACACCCAGGTTGACCAGCAATTTGGAGGGCCCCGGACTCCATTTTCTCACCGCTGTAGTGACTTGAACTTAGGAAAGAAAATGAAGTTAGAAAAAAAGACAGTAAAAGGGTGAAAGCAAACACACCAACGTCATCGACCTTCTTGACGGCCTGAACCTTGGCCTTTTTAGCGGCCACAAGTTCTTCAACCTCCTCGACATCCTCTAGGGCACGCTTAGTCGGAGGGGGGCGGGGAGAATGATCGTCCTCCTCGTCAGTTGGTTCGTCGACATTGCCACGAGCTTTGGTTTCGTCTTTGCCTTCTTCTTCGTCATCTGTACCAGGTAAGAATAATGGTACATGACAAAGACCGGCGACACTACCTTCGTCCTGAATGGTACTCAGCCCCGGGATCATTTGTGGACGGGAGACGGCTACAACAAGAATGAAGGGACGATTTAAGAAAAATTAAAATGATGACGACACACCATTAATGGCTGTAAGTGGAGACGAACGTTTTTGTTGAACTCCTGAGACCTCGGCCACAGGTTTCAAAGGCCTGGTTATCCTCGTATGAAGAGAAGTAGGATCCAGCTGAAAAACAGGCGGCGGCATCGTAACACGAACTAGAGACGGTAGAGAAGGTGCCGGAGTGGAAGTACTAACAACGGGCTTACGAAGGAGTGAAATTGGACAAGGAGTGACTTTTGAAGTCGAAGGCGCGGGCGGCGCCGCGGAAGCTTGTCTTGAGGCCACTGGTGACTTTGGAGGCGTGGTAACACGAGCAACCACGCATTTCATAGTCAAAATGGGTACCTCGAGTTCGTACTGGACCTAGCACAATGGTTAAAAAATAAGAAAAGAAAAGAAAGCTCAATAACATGCCGCTTCGCGAGCCAGGGTGTTATACTCTCGACGGGCCTCTTCAACCTTCTCGATGGGCACAGCGGCGAAGGACTGAAAAAAACTCCCTTCCAGTTTGTACCAGCTACGAAGCGGAACCTCGGCCAATGAAACATTGTCACTACAAGTCGTCCAGTTGTCGATGGCTTCACGAAGCCAGTCATCAACGCAAGAGGCAGACCAAGTATCGTTGGGAGAGACCTGTTCAAGTCCCTCCAAAGCGGCGCTAGCAACGGTGTATGCTTCTTGGGCTTGCACGACCGCGAGTTCTTGGGGTTCAGTGGGTTCAGCCATTGCTTTCAGATGACGTGTAAGATAGTTTGACCAATTTGATGGTCAAAGAAGGGAGGCGGGAGTTAAAGATGCAAAAATCTGTGAAATCGTTTAGTTTAACCGAAGGTGCAAGTCAGTAATCAACACAAAGAGATACCGCCCGTTGAACAAGCAGTGGCCCAGAAAAGAAAAGAAGAAAAGGTTACTCACCTAGAGATACAGGAGGAATAGCGCCTTTACTCGGGAAGACGCTTAGGTAAGGGAGGGCGAAGAGAAAGAGAGCAAAGCGTGAGCTAGAGCATGGGCTGTGTTGGAAAGAAGTGGAGAAGTGGGACTTAGAAAATTTTCTTTAAGTCCCTCTGAGTCGCGCGTTGACCACGGCTTCTGTTCTTTGTAGAATAGACGAAAGAAGTCCCAATGATGAAGAAGACATACGCAAGAATATGTGCCTTACAATCAGCAATTAGGGTACTATTTTTAGATCCCAGACGCATCTAAAGCACTTCGATCTCCAATATAGGATGGATCTGATAGTTACCGCAGCAATCCCTAGCAACCGTGTCCAAAACCCAGACTTTGCATGGGAAAGGTACTGCCCTAGACTCGGAATTATGTTCCCAAGTAACATAATAAAGGTTTAAGGGGGATGGTGAGCCTCTGGGCTCTGTACGCTCAGAATTTGCAAATTCTACATGATTATAATGTTACTGTCCACTAGACGGACTTTCAGCAAACCAACGACTGCCGACACAGCAATACCACTTTCAAGTCACGGAAACCATTCCTCAAGTACTTTGATACTTCATCCTTCTCATACATGCCAACAATTACCGCATTGCGCTACCTTGTTTCACTCAGTGGTTATGGTTGGCACCGTGACCCATCTTACTCTTTCTCCTGCGCCTCCTCATTGCAGAAGAGCTTAATAAAAGACATCACGAATGATACGCGGGGGCATGAGCTGACAGGGTTCCAAATAGAATGTATTCCGGCAAGCCAAAGCCTTCGGATGAGAGCATGCTTGTGTGGAAGGAAATAATATCCAGTGCAGCGATTGCACTATCTTCTGGAATTCCTTGTTAGCGATGGACGACACTTGGATGGAGCGACCCATGAACCCGACTCTGAGCGGTTGGAAGTGAACACAGAATTTCAGTCATGCATGATATGAATTAGCGGTGCAGGATTCAATGATTATGATGAAGAGTCTTATCGTACAACGAATCATCATATGCCGACCACATGTGTTACTATCATGGGATGATGGGGAGAATTCAATGTTTCCATCGTGGACATCTCAGTTCGTGATGATCGTAGTCGTGATGATGGACGCGAGTCCCTATGATACGAGGGTAAGTCTTACCATCGTCTTGTTGATTGTCTCGGAGATGCTTCACAATTGGAGTACCTGCCGTTGCATAGCGGAAACAATATGACCCAACCAATTTGAAGGCACGAAGATCAGTGCGAGATTGGACACGAGCCTTTGATGAAACGACGACTTGTTTCCCTGGAATAGAGTTACATGTCAATCGGGCTTCAATTCAATGGTCATGCTGTGAAAACTGGGCATTGTGGAAATTTTTGACGGGAGTCGATAATTGGTACCTCTATCTTGCCAATCTTTCCCACTTACAATCATCCCGACCAAGATACTAAAATAAATCACACTGCCACGTTAAACGGTACATATTCTTGGTGTATACCTCCAATTTAAGAGGAGGTGGCATTTATCTATGGAATGAGTAAAAGTGTAGATATAATCGGGCAGGTCACTGCTATCACATGTGGGCACAAGGAATCGAACCTTGAGTTAATAAATTATAGGACACCTTGCTCGATATGCTACCCCCGTCACAAGGTGATGAAAAAGAAAAGCATCTACTATTCAAAGCAAACACTAGGACTCAAGACCCCATTCTTGCTTGCATGCCCTGAAATCTGGGCAAAAGTCATAAAACACCTTCGGTGCAAAAGCCCTTAGTCCCTTACATATGCTGTCGGGACCACGAACTATTGACAGAAGAATATATGTGAGTATCTACGAACGAGTGTAAGTATCATAGTCATAAGCACAGTAGGGATATACATACCTCAGTCGGGCACAACGTGGGTGAAGCGACTGAGGCATACAGATAGGAACGGCTGGACTATATAGGTGATCGGGAAACGACAGGAGGTGTAAGTATATATAAGGCAAATAAAGCGAGTGATCAAAAAGTAAGATAAGATGAAACATACGGATATCCTCCAACACGAACTCTATCTCTTCTTCGCAGGTAACCAGCGCAGGCTAACCATCAAGTGAGGCAACTATGCCTAGGTGACGAATTATCGCAGGCTAAAATGAGTCCAACCTTGCATTCTGACAGGGGCTGAATTCACCGTAATGACGAAATTCCTATAATTTGAATATCTATCCATCAAACGCGCCCCCTCTCCGGCAAAAAGAAATTGTATCCTTCCAAACCATTCGGAGGCGAGGAATCGAACCTGGCATTCTTTTTTTGCCATTGAACCACAGTTACCCGGGAGGGTCGAATTCTCAAGAGGAAAATTCTCTCTCTAAGACTCGTCGAGCATGACGATGGCGCAGTTGCGTCTTTACTTGAAATTAAAAATACAATCTAAATACATCCCTGACTCTGAGCGGAATAACATTTACCTCTGGGTATGAATGGGTTTATTGGGCCAGATTTATTTCACGATTCAGGATCGTTCTTCGGGACAACAGACCATTAGCTTTGAAAGCCAAAGGGCAAAAATCTTTACTCACAGATCAATGGTGACTTGGGAGACAAAGGATCGACATTACGGCTCGAGCCTCTCTCACACTATGGGAAACATAGCGTCAAAGGCTCCCGATCATTTACATAAAACACAGAGGTCATTGGAACAGAATATCCATGAATCATAGCAAGCTTGAGGATACAATGACGGCAGTTTTACCCCTCGACCCATATTCGTTTTTTGGATTTCGCAGTTGTATGAACTCTAAGGTAAAGTCCACGGCTGATGCATCATAACCATTTTCTTCTATCAGATAGGAAAACCCTCAGACAATAAGCGTCACAGTGAAACTCAATGCTCCACCAAGTGGGAAAGTACGACTCACGATGCCATGAGAGGGTTCATAAATTCTTCGACCGAAATGCATGCACGTACATGCAAAAAAAAGAGTTGAATATAGCAGGAACAGTCTATCTGTCATCACAATTTTATGCCAATCTCAGCGAATCGAACTTGCCATGAACCGTCTGTGAATTGCATCAAAGGAAGTTCGAATACCGTTGGGCGGAAGATTGGTTTGGGAATTTCAATGGCTACGTTCTAGCTCACCCATATACTCGAATTTACATGTCGAGTAAGAGGATTTTTTGAAGAGCGTCAATAGTTTTCAGTCTCAGCGAAGAATACTAAAATTATGGTGGCCTTAGTAAAGAATCGGCCGTTCTCCACTTTTCATACACAATTTTTTTTCATTTGCAGTCAAAGGGCAGCCGAAACTTTATGTATCGTAAGAAAATCGCTGACAATGGTAACACAGAATAGCATTAAACCGTTGGCGCCCAAAACGGAAAGCGAGACCTCTGCAAGGAAAAATTTAAAACACCCAGGAGTTGCCAAGCCCCCAGTGTTTATGCAGCTTTGTTTATTCCTTCATCGCAGGACCATGAATGAAAAGGACCGGTGTTGAGCAGTTGTACCATGAAAATGAACAAAAGGAGAAAAGAGGTTGAAAAAACGACATTCGACATTCGACAATGGGATGTGGGCATCGAACCCCGAGCCACAGCAATGGCCGCTGGACATGCTGTCCTTCAGGAGATACATAGAAAACAATAAGACAAGCCTATCAGATATACTTCGGCAGAGATAAACGTCAAGGTCCCAAACTCCTAGTCTATGTCCCGCGTTGTAGTATTATAGAAAATCGAGGAGCGTTGGCCCACTTTGAAAGGTTTCCCGGTTAACAGTAAGCACTTGCCAGCGGTAACCCTAACGACGACCGGGCTGGGCCAGAATTGCACCATGTTGTTACAGTCGCTTTTCGGACCACGTTCGGTGTTTTATTTTTCTTCACCATCACGAACAGGGCTTTGAATCAAACCCCGCGACACTGCAATATGTCCCTCGACAATACGATCTGTGAGACGTGATGAGAAAGGTGATAGAGTGTTATGCATGACTGACGATGGGTCAATCGGCACTGAACCGGCACTACCACTATCGACTCTACAGACTATGATCAGCGCCTCTGTCTTGCCTCCAGTCCCAGTGCCAGCATATGGTTACGACTCCTCACGATGAGCTACCCGACATGCTCGGGAACCAATGCGAGACCACATTTGTGTACTCGTGGGTGAAACAGTAGAAAGAAGGGAAACAATTGTACTACGGCCTATTCTTCTCTGGAATTCTCCGATTCCATGCATTTTCTTTTGATTTCGCCGCGCCCCGCTCATCTTCAAGTCTCCACATGTTCTATTTTCATGTCCGGGTGTTCTGATACTGTGGGGCGCGTTGGAGAGGTAAGTCTGCTATAGCCTTCGTAATAGAGTTCCTTTACTACCATTCTGATCCTTGCTGATATCGACATTAAGGCCCTCATCCTCCGAGTTGAGATAAGCGTATTGAGATGGATCACAGCTAGGAGGGGTTCATCAAGCTGTGAAAACTAAGCATTAGAAACTTTGCATAGCTGTCTGAGTTGTTGCTTGGTGGAAAAGGGTTATTTAAAATAAAAAATAGTATTAGACCAGTTTTCTAATTCAGATATAGGGAATTGAACCATCGACAGCCACGTCTTCTCTTGAGCTATATCCGTGTGGAAAAAGGAAGTCGATAATTGTACTGGAAGAAGAAAGGAGGAAATCAGCTTCATACCACTATCTTACTAATATTTCCCACTTAAAATCATCCCAGATGAATCACGCCATCACATTAGGTGGTAGATGTTCTCAGTGTACGCCTCCAATTCAAGAGAGGTGTCATTTATGTATCAAATGAGTAAAATTATATATATAATGACTGTCATCACATGTGCACAAGGAATCGAACCTCGAGTTTTAACTTATGGGAGACCTTGCTCGATATGCTACCCACATCGTGAGGCGATGAGAAAACAAAGCATCTCCTATTCAAAGCAAAGACTAGGACTCAGAGTACATTCTCGGTTGCATGCCCTGAACTCTGGGTGGAAGTCATAAAACTCCCTCGGTGCAAAAACACTTAGTCTCTTACATATACTGTTGGATCTACAAACTTGATCCCTTCACAGGTAAGCAGTGCAGGCCAGCCATCAAGTGAGGCAACCATGCCTAGGGGAGGAATTCTCGCAGGTCAAAATGAGTCCAAACCTGCATTCTAACAGGTGCAGAATTCACCGCAAATATGAGAGGATGAAAGATCTATAATTTGAATATCAATTTCTCAAAACCCCCTTCCCCCCCAAAAAAAGAGTTGGATTCTATGAACTTATTCGGAGGTGAGGAATCGAACCAAGCATGGCCTTTTTCACTATCAAACCACAGTTACCCACGAGGCATCGAATTTTCAGCAGGAAAATTATCTATCTCCTCCAGCATGCAGATGTGACGGTCACGTCTCTACCGAAAATTGAAAATACAATCGATATATTCCCTGATTCTGAATGAAAGAACGTTGATCTCTGCATATGCATGGGTTTATTGAGCCAGAGGTTCTTCAAAATTCAGGATCATGCTTCGGACAATAGACGATTAGCTTTGAAGGCTAAACGGCAACGGTCCTTAATCACAGATTCATAGTGATTTGGGAGACAAAGGATCGACATTACAGCTCCAGTCCCTTTCGCACTATGGGAAAAGCGTCAGACAACCTCGATGGGTAGCGAAAGGGTCAAACGACGGGTATTTGTGCTAGGAGCATTGTCAGAGGGAAATTGGCCACAGTTCTTTGTCTTTTGGATTTAGCCGTTGCAGACGGGCTCATAAACTCGAAGACAAAGGTCCGCCCTGACGCCTTATAACGATTTGCTTCTATCAGGAAGGAAAACCCTCAGACAATAAGCGTCACAGTGAAACCCAAAGCCCCAAAGAGTGGGGACAGTACGAAGAGCATGACGTTTACAAGGGAGCGTTTCATAAATTCTTCGACCGAGATACACACACGCACGGGGGTAAAAAAAAAGTTGACCATAGCAATAGCAGTCTACCTGTCATCAAAAATCATGGATGGCGAATCGAACGCGAATATGAACCGCCTGTGAATTACACCAGAGGAAGTTCGAAAACCGTTGGGCGGAAGATTGTTTTGGGAATTTCAATGGCTCCGCCGTAGCTCAGCTATATACTCGAATTTACATGTCCAGTAGGAGGTTTTTTTCGAAGAGCGTCAATAGTTTTCAGTCTCTGTGAAGAATAGCAAAATTATGTCGGTCGTAGTAAGGGGTCGGCCGTCATCCGCTTTTCATACAGCAATTTTCTTTCGTTGCCGGTCGAAGCCACAGCCGAAACTTTATCCATCATGCGAAAATCGTCCCTGAGCCAGGCCGCAGTGTTTATGCCGCATTGCGCATTCCTTCATCGCAGGATCATGAACGAAAAAGGCCGATATTGAGCGGTCGTACCATGCAAATGAACCAAAGGAGAAAAGAGGTATTTAAAAATTTGCTTTTGCCAACGACAAGTCAGAAGCCTTATTTGGACGTGGGGTTCGAACTCCGAGCCACAGCAATGTCCGCTGCACATGCCGTCCTTCGCTGTTATGGCGCTGAAGGGAAAACAATGAGATATATGTCATGGGAGATAAAAGATGGAAGCCAAAGACTCGATTTATGTGCCGCGTTGTCGAAAATGAGAGGATTAAAGGGATTGAAGAGGGTCGGCCGCTTTGAAGGGTTTCTCGGCCAATACGCAATGGCGGGCGGTCACCCTAACCAAGATGGGGCCGGGCCAGATTCGCAGGCCTGCTGGTACAGTTGCCTTGGGGACCATGTTCGGCGTTTTTTTAAAAAAAAAAACCATCACGAACAGGGTAGTGAGCACAGGGAAATCTAATTTCACATAGCGCGATGCTGAACCGTTGACCAGACGGAACACGCAGAGAAGACGTCTACATCACAAAGTTACCTTACACCCTCCATACTGATACTCTCCTGACTCGTCATGTACCTCGGTCCCAGCTTGACGTTACAGTCCGTCGAGTAGTGCACGCTACGCTCCACGCTAATCTGAAGCTACCATCGGTAGATCGATCCGTCAATAACTTGAACTCAACGAAAAAAGGATCAAATCGTTTACCTCTGCGCGTTTAGCGACGTTCAGGTCTGCCTGCCAGAACCAGAGCCAGAACGAACACGTCAGATTGCCTCCCTCCCTCTAGATCCGAAGAACAAGAGAACGCACCACACGAGGTCGACGACTATCGAGGAGTATCGCACTTCCCGTCCGACCAAACGAAGACGTCTGTCCTCTCCGCAGACCACGGCGTGTATTCAGCCTGCCAGTCGCAGTCGTGAACGGACGACAGACGATGGACAGAGAACTCTCTTACGTTACTAATAGCGAGTTGGCATATACTGTCAGAGGGGATGTCAGCTGGTATGGTAACACGCCAGACTCAGACGTACGTTTACCGATGACGAAATGCACACCCATGAAAATGAGGTTCGACGACATCGTGAGCCACTGTCGTGAGTCGATGATATCAGGATGGGCGGCGCGGGATGTGGAGAGGGAGGGGAGGGAGGGAGGACTCACGCATATCATGTCGATGATAGTTGCCGCGCTGGTAAAAGTCACGTAGTCAGCCATCGGAAATCGCGGAGAAAGATAAGATGCTCGTACCATGTAAGAGATCCTGTTTCGAAGGTGTATAATATTAGGGAATCTATGACGGCGTTAAGGCTGGAGGAGGTAAGATTTGGGCGAAGAACAGGAGCTTTGGTGTACTTCTCAGCTTCTGAGCGGCTTGTGTGCAGGAGACCGAAGAGGGATCCGGTGATCAGGATGTCTACTGTGGAGGATAGGGCGAGGCCTAGTGTGAACACCCACTGTATGTGGGTCATCAGTAGTGTGCGGATATCGTGTGGGATGAACGTGATTACTCGAAAGTCTTCTTTGAATGTAGAGTACGTTTTTAGACGTATCCTACCCGGGATTATCAATGGAGGGATTTTAAGCTTTGACATTGGACCCATACATTTCTGATGTCGTAACTGAATGGTTACAATGTTAGCACCATAGATCCCCGGCAGAAGCATCGCGTAAACACACCGCAAGCAGAAGCTAGCCGCCACGTGTAGAGAACAAAATAAACAATACCGCACCAATGCGATATGGATAGACCCTCACCGAGACGGAATGCCGCCAGGATCATCTGCCCAGGTGAGTGAGTATCAGAATAGGAAAAATGAAACAGAAAGGAGGGGCACTTACTATAGGACATATAAGAAACCAATTTCGTTTGCTAACTGGGGATGTCGGATTATGACGGTTCAAACGCGCAAGAGCAGGATGGCGACCTACGCATGAATATCCTATATGCAAAGAAACTGCACGGTCGATCAGTCGAGGCAGCACCCAGGAAATTAGAATATTTGAACATACCAGTGGACTAGAAACGTCAGGACGGCCTACGAACACATGATCAGGGATGGATAGCAGTGAGGCGGGATCGAGGTGCCATACCGTAATCACGATGGTCACCTGTCTGATCCATTAGCACGAAGGTTGAATTGCATATGGATATCACTGACCGCGATGCTCCTGCAAACACATGAGTGATGGTGGCGGTGGAGGTGTGAATAATGAATCTCACCAAGGTATGACGTTGATATTACCGTAGTGGCCGATGACCATGTACCATAGCGATGTCCAGACGAAGCCTGTATGGCTGGTATCGAGCAGCCTGTCGGGTTATGGTGTGTCAGGTATGAGTTTGGGGGGCGATTGGTGTCACGAACCATACGGCGAAGACCTGTGGCGAGGTTAAATAGGAAACAAATGGCAGTGTAAGAGTTACTGACGAGTATTTTGACTCTGACGGAATCGGAGGGATAGAGCTTGTAATAGAGGATCGTTTGGATGGCCACCGCGCCAGATAGTCTACGGAATTGTTAGCTCGAATTGGCTGGAGGAAGGGGGAAAAAAGCCACAAAGAGGCGGAGAGCGCGCCGATGGCCACCGCACCATACGTGGTCGAGGTGTCAGTCGACATGGTCAGAGCAAATACAGGGTCCTGGCGGAGTGAAGACTTTATATCCTTAAATACCGTGTTGTCCCAGGGTCGCGTCAAAAAAACAATAGCACGTGGAACCCGAACGCGGAGGAAGAGTTTCAAGGTTTGATTCGTGCTAGGCTGATATTGTTAGTGGACCGGGGTGAGGAACTATATGTGATTGATACGTTCATTTCGGGGATATGTTTCTCGACATAAGGCTCGGTGCGAAGAGGGAGAGCCTGAAGACAATGAGCGGGCAAGAGGGGGAGAGGTATGCCGATGAACCTGTTATACGCTCTATGAGGTCGCTCGATTGAGCAAAAAGAAATTTTCAGAAAGGATCCTGGCGTTGAGTTCTTTATAGCGCTTGACCGACTCATAGGCGGCCCGGAGAGATTCCGAAAAGGATTGAAAACTTTGAGGACGAGTTTTAACGTAAAAGAATCCTGTAGTGGTTGTATAACAATGTGTTCTGATACTATGAGATCCGCAAAGTGGGATTTTGCGGCGAGAAAGAACGTATCTGAGCTCAGCGATGGTGGTAGGGCGAAACACGTGGCAAAAAGATGGCAGTGTGGGTATTTTGGTCAACCAAACAAAGTGCGCTTCTTTTTCTTACTTCACTTGTGCTCGATTTCCTGACTCTCGAGATGATCGGTGACGCGGCGAGTTCAGCTTGATTGCACTTCCTAGAAGACGCCAGAGAGCACCGATCGACTTCGTACTGCTACGATAACCATTGTTCTGATGGGTGTCTATCCGAAGCCTTCTCCGAGGGCCATGTCATCATAAGATCAGAAAACAAGAGTCCTGTCCTACCCTCTATATACAGCACTCTCACGTATGGAGGGACGTGTCCACTTTCTCTTCCTTCGCTATCAACTATGCGCGGAGCCCCGTCGAAAGAGTACGTAAGTATATCATCGCCACGGATGACATGGTCACCGTTTTTGTCAGTCAAGATGAAGCAAGCTTCTACGACGTGAGCATTCAGAGGTTAACGATGATGGTAAACCCATGATACGCCTAGAACCTGCTCTCTATTCTTCACAGGCGTTTCCCGTACATTGCCAAGAGGTCGAAACAATGATTTGAAGGTTTTCGCTGGACGATATGTTGATATTCCATATGATTTATGGCCGGAGGTTGGCCCTCGTATTAACAAGATAAAAGTTATCTCTCGCGCGTTACAGTCCCCCATTCTTCGGATCCGGCTGCACTATGATCAGGACGAAATCAAGCCCTGACGCGGACGCTTAAGACTAGCCCAGTAAGTCGATCGATGCAGATATTCGTTGTGACTATCACCGCCAAGACGATAACAGTGACACTACCTAAGGTTGCATCAGTCTCTGATCTAACAGCAATGGCATACCCTCGATCAGCAACGACCGGGCAGAAATATCATGCTTTCTAGTATTTTCCGAATATCGGTAATATTAAATATTATACAAGTCGTCATATTCGTAGCTTTCCCAGGCATTCCTTGAACTCAGTTTTTATTGTTATGCTAAGGTGGAATCGATTTTCAATAGCAAATAGTGCCTGGAAGCTCGACAAACTTTGCCCTCTGGCACGTAGATGACTGATAACCACCCCACCCCAAAAAGAGTTTCGGTCCTCGAGGAACGCCAATAGCCGGAATCGAACCAAGGCCTCGATAACAGCCTTTATGCCACGGACGTCATAAATACACTTACCATCTCAAAACTTAAATGTACCGCTCAAGCTCTAGAAGATCCGGGTTCATTCACAACTTCTTCCCTCTTAATTTTTAAACCTAGTTATTTGTCGAATTCCGTACTGGATTATACGTGTGGCTATTACGAAAGAAAAGGACAACGACCACCATGATATATCGCCTGGGTGCGGATTCGAACCGATACTCCCGAATGGACCCTTTGCCCATGGAGGCGACGTTCACAAAAGGTTGAACATACACCTTCTGGTATTGCACATGGGCAATCCGCCACATAGTAATTGGGGTATGGTGCAATATTCGCAGGAGAAAGGGCATTCATTAATCACCTTCGCAGAGGAAGGACGTAATTATCTACGGTCATGAAAGAAAACTACCCTCGCGATGGTCAAGACTCGCCGCTGCGCCATCAAACCCTGAGGCTCCTTCCATCCTTGAAAAACGTTTCCCTCGACCCAAAGTGCATTATCGAGCGGGGTGGAATATGCCACGAAGCCAGGATTGCATGACCACAAATGGGTCTGTCAACATTCTGGAAACTCCGTCTCTGGTGTGAAAAGCATCAAAACCATTATATATGCACGTAATGACCACAACACGGGTCACTACCAGTATGCCAAGATGTGAACTGCAAGTCGGATATGGTGACAAAACACATAGTGGAGATCCACTTCGATCCATGGGAAAAGAAGTTTGTTGTCGAAAAGTTTCGGGGTCGTTAGGAATGATAGAGGAACGAGCAAGGTAAGTGCGTATTGTGATCCAAAAGCTGAAAAATTTGGCATCCAATCCCCAATTCCAAAGGAACGACGTGGATTCGAACCGTACCGTGAGTTCCATGACTAACTCGGCCAACTGGAAGTGCCAGTCATGTGAATAACACAGAGTCTTTGGGAAAGCGTGAGGTTAGACTTGTTACGACGTGACAATCCAGAAAGAAAACGTGCTCATATCCACCACTCAGCACCTAAGAACCAAGTGGACTCCAATGATTTCCGTAAAAGCCAGTCCATGGGAGGAAATCATACCCAAAGCGCCCAGGTAAAATAAAATAAATACATACATCGATGTCTACACCGCTAAGGAGGACCGGAATCACCAGCAGATAAAAGATGCACACGAACACAATACTTCATGTCGAGGTATGAATATTAATTTCCGCATGCAAAGGGATACTGACCGGATCACTCAACCCGCGTACCTAGACTCAAGAAACACATTGTGAAGTAACATGACTTCTACCACCCAAGGCGCTCCTTCGTCCATCCCCAAAACTTGCCATTCTTGTCGATCCTGTTACACAGTCTCTCACCGCGGTCCAATCCATTTATCTTCTCCACATCCTCTTCATCTAGAGTGGGAAGCTAAAGAAAGAGGTCAATCAAGGAAGTCATCAAAGAGAACCGTGAGTACTGACGTTGATATTATCTTTCTGTCTCTGTTCCTTGTCGCTCTTTGGTATGATGATCACGCCACCCGCGATTTGCCATGCGAGGATGACTTGTGTGGGCGAAACACCGTGCTTTGCAGCAATTTCTTTGATGATGAGATCTTCTCGGACGGTGTTCCCGTGCCCTGTATGGATCTGGTTAGCGGAGTCGAAGGACACGAAAGGGCACGCTCACCCCCAGGAGAATACGCCTCAGTGGCGATGCCCTTTCTCTTGTGGTACGCGATGAGATCGCTCTCTGCGAGGTATGGATGTCGCCTAAATCATGAATGTTTGAAATGCAGAGAGAATGATCCAATCGGTACATACTCTATCTGGTTTACCGCCGGAACGACGGTTGCTGTTTGGAATAGCTCTTCAAGACTGTGGGCTTCGCTGTTAGTACGAATAGATGGACAGGCGGAATGCATGTACGTCTTGATGGAAAAGTTGCTGACTCCGATGGCCTTAGCCCTGCCGCTCGCATAGATTTTCTCCATTTCGGCATAGGACTCATTGAAGGTCGGAGAATCGATGGTGATTACGGAGCCGTCGGCATCTCGTGGAAGATCCAGCCAGGCCCCTATAAGAGCCGTCATTCAGCGAGAGTGAGGGAGGCTAATGGTGGCGTACCTCGGTAAGGGATGGCCATGGGCCAATGCATCAAGTACTGTCAAGGATACTGAGAACGGCGTCCTCTCAGAAGGATTGGAGCGTACAAGGTCCACGTAATCCATTCCAAGGTTTCGGAGACTCAGGTCGAACGATTCCGCAACACGGTCCTGTCGGTTAAAACTGCTCCTAAGAGTTACTAAACTTTAAAGAGAACATGACGAGACGGCGCACGGAAGTTTAGTTGTGATGAAAAACTCTTCCCGGGGAATACCAGACTCTCTGATCGCCTCGCCGATGGCCTTCTCCGTACCTGGGGCGCTCGTTCATGCTTGTAAGAAAACCAGGGATGAAACACACCATATAGTAAAGCTGTATCAATGTGTCTATAGCCAGCCTAGGGTAACGTTCAGTTTGCGATTCAGAAATGCTCGTTGATCTCACCTGAATCGCCGTTAACATCCAGCCCTTAGTTGCATCACACGCCTCGACCGTCATCGCGCTCGGACCACCCCCAGTACCTAAATATATGAGCGACATATCGTTGTATGCGGGTGTACTGACCTATGATGGGTATCTTCGTACCGTTGTTAAGCTCGACGAGGGGAATTGGAGGCATCGAAGCGACTGAGGATTCTCTATGATCTGAGAAGGATGCTTTATATGCGCGCTTCCCAGTCATTTACAGCATCAGGGTCCTTCGTAGTCAGCAGAAAGCACCTGATTCCCGATAGAAATGGTATTTGTCATCCCTTGCGTAGATCGGTCGAGTAGAGGAGATGTCGGCCTCGATGACGACGGCAATATCCGATCGGAGATTGAATTCAACCTGTCTCGGCCGAAAGTGTAAGCCTCTGCTGCCTACTCAAGAAGGGAGGGTAGATAGCTACAGAAGAGGGGCCAAGCCTCTTGATCCATTGTGATGTGCAAATGGAAATGCATGAATGGCTAACACTGTTAAACATAAAGTAAGAGAAAGATGGGAGGGTGATAAAAAGCTGGTAATTTGATAGAACTTGGTAAATAATAGGCTTAAAGAAGGAACTCAAAGAAAGCTGCATTAGACATGGTGATGCCACAGGCTGAAACTGCTGGAGTAAGTTTCTGCAGGATGAAGAGAGAGGTGAAGCCTCATCAGACAAGAAATAATAATGCTAACAGAAAGTGTGGAAGCAAAGCCTCAAATCCTGGAAGTGATGAATGAGCCTGACTAAGTAGTAACAGAGTAAGGCTAAAGGAGCAGAATAGGAGTGAGGATAAAAATGAGAGAACTGCATCAATGTCTCTTGTGAATCAGCCTCAGCTGAGACTTGGCACTGAATCAGAGATGATATGGATGCTCTATTCCATAGATGAGGTGGTGCCTCATTGACCTGGATATCCATGGCAATACCAAATAGAAACTCATAAGAGTCTGATTTTAACAAGAACCCCAACAATCCAGACTTCAGTTTTGCAAGTGGGCTTTCAGTGTACTTTCATATGGTTGACAGTGCAGGCAGGCTTTAACACAAGCTATACACTGTGACTTTTCAGTCTGCAATGTAGTACCCTTGATCAAATACTACCATCCAGACTTGACTAGCCAGGAGAGGTCTGACCTATCAAGGTGGAAAGGACAATTGGCATTGCTCTGTTATCAAAAATCTTCTATGAATATGAGAGGCACCAGAGATTGTTATGATTTTTCTATTTCCTTCTCTATAAACCCCTATTTATGCTTAGTCAAGGCATCAAGAATGAGTGCTTAGGACCATGAGACAAAGCTTGGTCATCACAAACCAGCCGAGTCTGTCATTGTCTTTCGACACAACAATGATGCCCAACAACAGAGACAACCCTTTTATGAATGGTAGCAATGCTCTAGGACAATGGACACAACAGATAGAGAGACACACAATAAGTATGCAGTATTATTAGCATGATCTGTATAGTATTTAAGGAGGCTTGCTCTCACTGGTATATCCCCAGCTTCAAGCTAAAGTTTATTCATATCATTCTACCCTTGAGCCAACTCTTAACAGCCTTGTGACACAGTGAACAAAAAGCACATCAGTGAACTCAGACAACTTCCCAAAGTGCAAGGAAGCTTCTGCTTATCATGTGCTAGCACTCACATGATGCTTGAGTCTAACAGAGATGGCTTGCAGAAAATTACTCTGATAATAGCAATATGATCTGTGACTGTAGAGGGTGGTTAGTACATGGATTTTCACACTGAACATCACAAAGGAAACTGCTGTGAGACTATAGAGAGTGGAAATATTCTATCCTAAAGTAAGTGTCCATGAGAGTATCAGTCTTAAGTATGGCTTTGCATTAAATAGTTTTAGTAATATAGCCTTTTTCAGTCCAGTTGTACAAGTTCACAGAGAATACTCAGTTATAGCACTGGTGATGCATATTGGATGATATATCATAGTAATTAATAGAGGCTGTGCTCAGTGATCATAATGACTGAATCTGAAAGGATCAACAAATATAATGTCTGAAGGTGATGCTATATTGGCTGAATAATATGATTGTAGAGATGTAAGTCTGGTTATATATTGGTAAAACTGAAGGTCAGTTATAATCAAGACAATCTTGGACTTGGTAGGATTGCAAATACCATGGAGATTCACTTGTAAAGAATCCTTAAATTCAGAGTGTACAGAGTCTGGAGGCTTATCATTATAATGGTAGAAACTGCAAGTGTCTCAAGATCCATGCAGAGATCTATACAAATGCTTTCTACTCCTGGAATCTGCTCTCATGATGACCTTTGTTGCTTACTTGAGAAGAGAGGATAGATCATTACAAAAGAGAGATCATGCTCCTCAACCCATTATGATGTATGAACAGCTGAAAGTGCTGTTGAGTAATGTCAGGAGTGAGAGTGGAGGTGGTTTGAAGATGTGTATGGACAGATCACAATACAAAAACTGTTAGGGTGCCAGAAAATAGTAGCATAGATATGTCAGCTGAAGTTGTGCTTATTATGCTGGGTGGTCTTAAATATAGATAGTCTTGACCTTTGATGATCAATATCTCATAGCTTGTATGACTGTTTCAGAGAGACCAAGAGAAGCATAGTAAATTGCTCCTCCAGCTCTAGCTGAGTGATCTCTGAATTCTTTATCCATGACTGCAAAGAATTTATTTGTTGAATCAGACATGATTGGAATGTCACTATTTTCATGGAGAAATTGTAGAGTCAGTAGACTATGAATGCAGTCTCATCATATAATATAGAGTGATGGAAGATGAATAGGATCTGTGATATTCTGTCATATGAAAAGAATACTGATTCCATGATAAAATGGATTTGATAAATGTGTTTATCAGACTGATAACATTCATAGAAGCAGCATGAAAGACTTGTAGTGAAAAGTAGATCATCATATAAGTCTGAGACATCAGCAAGAAGACAGAAAGTGATTAAGTGAGATGATAAGAGAGGTAGCTTCTGAGATGTTGGATCATCTCTTGTCTTTTTAGAACCACAAATAGTTACTTGAATGATGTTATGTTTTCAATTGACATTAAATTCAGAATAAAGGTCTTTTAAAAAATGGCAAATTCCAGTTAAATATTTTGAGACTAACACAGTGACACACACCCCATGTGTTGATGCATGTAATTTTGTAAAATCTGATGATACATTAAGAGTATTTGTTACAATTTTTCCTATTTTCTTTTTCTTTTTCCTCAGGGGTGACCCCTATCTTTGCTTAGTCAGGGCATCTAGGACTGGCACTTAGGACGGGTGCTTAGGACCAGCACTTAGAACTGTGGGAAAGCTTAGTCAGCAACCCAGTCGGTCTTGGTTCTACTGCACTGCTGTGTGCTGTAAAAAGAGAGACAATACTCTTTTTGTTCTCCAACTGCGGCACAGCAGTAACAGCACACAGCAGGACAATAGACTTTGTAGAGAGCTGAGTAACCACAGCAGTAACAGCAGCAGCAGCAGAAGTCATCTTTTGTGAACATTTATTTATAGTACGATACCAGAACAGTATATAAGTAGTGTAGCTCTTGCTGTAATACCCCAGCTTTGAGCTAAAGTTTATTCTTCACCATCCAATCTCGAGCGACTTGCAACTGCCTTGAATCACACTCTCTATCATCACATCAGTGAACTCAGTCAGTCTAACCCAAAGTGTGAGGTTCTGAACTGTTTATCACATGTTGATAGTCATGTGGAGTTTGGGCTTAACAATTAGCTTGAAGCTTCTAGCTTCCCCTCTTTAAAGCCTAAAAGGCTAAAAGAACTGAATGCTTTCCATCAACCTCTTCTTGATCCTCTGGACAAGAAACTGAATGCCCCCTGCTCTAAATCCATCCGATCCAAACTTCACCCACGAGTTCTTCGAACTCTTAGCTTCTATCATTGGAACACTGATCGGTTTGTTGGTGATCATACAGCTGTGCTGTGGATGCCAATCTATTACCGCTTGGGCTAATCAACATTACCAAGAGTTCCAACGTATCTGCAGAATCCTTCGAAATGTCATGCCAGACCTTCCCCTCCATGACATCCCTGCCTCTGTCTGAAACTCCTTCTGACACCCCAAGGAAACCAAACCAGAAGACAGGCCTGAGAGCTCGAATCAGGAACGTCCTAGGGAAGAGGAGCAGCAGCAGCGGCAACACGAGTATCCCCCAAGACCCCCATCAGCAATCGTCCGAAACCCTGAAAACCCTTGGGCTACAGGGTTTCGACGAACCCGACCTGACACCCCCATCCCCTCCCCCAAGCACAGCATCTCTGTGTCAAGAACTACCATTGCCCAGTCTGGAATTGGGCACCGGGTGAGAGACTCCTTGGATGCCATTCGGATGGCTCCAAGCCCCAGAAGTACCAACAGGCATCAACCCTGACATGCCTCATCAACAAGAAGCAGCAGAAGGGGAACAAGGGTCAGTAGTCCTGATTCCTTCTTTGATGACACCAACAGAGACAAGATCCGATACTGGCAAGAAGTGTCAAGAGCAGCCAGTAGACTGGAACAAGGAAGGGGAGGAGCCTCACACATACCGTGATGTGATCCAGTGGTATCAAACACAATACAACCAGCCCCCCAGTCCCTTGCCGAGTTCCTTGAGGGACAGACATGGACTGGCCGCCAGACCAGCTGACAGCATACCATCATAATCAGCACTACCGACTCCCCATTCCAGGAACCTGCCACTCCCACCAATGAGCTTGACCCTTGGACAGGGTCAGCTGCCAGAGTCATCCATGCCGACGACTACCACCACAGGGAGCTGACACTCCTCGACAATGACCGCCCATTATCATATGGGACCGATACCATCACTGAAACTGACGATATCCCCATCTGGGGAAATGGGATACCATCAGAGCGGGGAACAATCAGCGGCGACGATAAACATATTGATCCCACTGGGGATCTCAAAAGGGACCTCAACAGGCCAATCACTGCCCTCTTTCTTTGTCCACACTTCTACCGAAACTTCTGCCGGTATCACAGAGCAATGGCGCTGGCAGCAGAAGATGAAGAAGAGCAGCCCGACAGGGAGCCTACTCCTTGACCCAGACCTGATGATGCCGAGTCAAGTACTCAGCCCCAGCCTACCCACCCCAGAAACCTTTGGCCAGCAAGACAGTTCCCT